GCCATGCGTCATTTCAGCCACCTTCTTTCTATCCTAAACCTAGCATGTTTCGTTATCATAATGTATTCTGAGCGATCGGCAAAACTATTCAACGAACCATTATGAAGTGCACACAAAAAATCCTAACAGTAGATTTAAAAATAAAACTAAGGATTTTTATTACTAAAGAACCCATTGAATCGAGCCTGATTTAATGTAAACACTTCCACCGTGAATAGTGAAGCATTGATTCAATGTTGAGTCGATGTGAGTGCATAAACTGTGATGGTCACCACGTTGAATCAATGTTGATTCAACACAGAAGTATGAACCTTCAACATTGATACATTCGACCCACACCAGGTAAACTTTGAATCAATGTTATGTGCTACCTGGATCCGTGGGTATATTCCACCAAGGTGGCAACCGAACCCAACATGACCCAGGCTAATTCTGAGCAGAGTGATGGACATAATAAAGTTAACGAGGTCACTCAAAGATAGTTCATGACGAGCTTGAAGAGGGGTATCTTTAAAAATCTAATTTGGAAATTTGAGATTGTTTCCTGATGATATTGAAATTGTACTTCAGTGGTTTGGCGCATGCGCATGCGCACGAATTAAATGGATTCTTTGGACCTGTCTCATAGCAACGTTGATCCATCTTGGATTCGACATTTCTTTAAGGTGAAATAAAATGAATTTTCAGTAGGAGTCCACGTTGAAAAGTAAATGTTGAATCAATGTTGATATACTGTTGATGTCAACGTTGCTTTAAGGTTGATAATAAAAAATGAACTTGCAATATAGAATTAATGTTGATAGGCCAATGTTATTTCAACGTTAGCTGCGTTGACGTTGAAATTTTAATCAATCTTGATTCACTGTGGGTGTGCTGCTTGAGAGGATTGGTTTTACTTTTATTTTAGTGCGCCTTACACTCACGCAATTATTCATCCCCGGACCAACAACGAATCCATTTTTGGGGGAGATGAAGTGCTTTACAATGTGACTCATTCTTGACTTAGTTCCAACTGCTCAAATTTGAATATCTGTAGTTTAGAACTTACCCACTCTTGGTCTTTCTTGTAGGCCGAGGGACACCTGCTTGCTGTTGAAACTGGGCATTCTGATTACCATCGGATTGCCCTTTGACCCCTGTGAAAATTTCACAAGAACAAATCATAAATATTGTAAGGAAAAATACTTCTTTCGAACCACTGTCGCGTATGCTTATAGGTTGTCTAGAATATGAGAGCGTCAGAAACACCCCATCCAAGAGATGGTCTTCATGTTCACTATTCATTTCCTCCTTCTTCTGGCAAGGTATGAGTTTTTTTTTCAGATATATTAGTGTGTGGAGATATCAATCATCAACCTGATCATCTGCGTTGTGCAAAGTATCATCTTATTAGAAGTGCAGGGGTATTGTTTCGAATATTAGTGACAGAGAAAAAAAATTAATTTTTACAGTTATTTGGCCGGAAATTGGAGATAAAAGTTTAATCAGTGCACATCCCAGAATAGACAGCAATTTTTAACAGGGGTATTGCACAAGCAAGGGACTGCGGCATTCTGCATGGTTTATTGCAGGAGGTAGTGCTAGGCCATGAATTATACGCGTCAGCGTATCGAAGTGGCGCATGTCCGATGCTGAGGCGTGAGCGAATCCTGAGTGCGGATGCAGCAAGACGCTGGTCCGGTTTACGATTAGCATACCTTGCAAAAAATCGATGATATCCTCTCTGTCCATGTCAATCAGTGCCTCGTAGAACTTGGGAACGCATTTTCCTGCGTTTTTCGAAAAGAGGATCCCAAAGAGTTCATCATATTGTTCTTTGAGGTCATGCTTGCGACGAATCTGCTGATCCTCCATGTCTGTGAAAACCTTCTTGTCACTTAACCTGCGTCGTAACTCATTTGGATCAAGGTTGAAGACGTCCCGTAGCTTCAGCCTGTTCTGCTTGATCCTGTCCCACGATGAAATGTTTCTTCTCTTCTATGAAGAAATAAAAACACGAATCATTCCAATGTATTCATTCCAACATTAGGACAGTTCATTTCATGTGATGACATGAACTGTCCTAATGGTTTCTATTGCTGATTTTCTGCTGCCATAACTCTCCTAAATACAGAAATACAGTATGGTACCTGATCCTCAATACCTTTTCACAGTTCCAGTCTTTTTTGCTTGGCATCGGTTTTCCTTCAAGCGAATGAATATAGTCTTGTGATATATCGCTGGACAGGTTTTTCAGAACTCCATGCGATTATTCTAACTCTAACATTGGCTCAGCTCGTCGGTTTACCTTTTCCTTTCGGTTACTCATGTTGTTCACTGACCACTGCTTAGAGACGCCTAGGGTGAGTGAAAATTTGGCTCTTATGATGTTCAATACACTTGGATTTGACTGATTTATGCATAACATCTTTAAGATACCACGCGAGGAGAGTCGCGGGAGGAGTCGGATCACGATTGGGGAGAGCCGGATTGAGAATATCATGGGGCGCTACGCGAAGATGCTCATTCATTCATAAAACATTCATTTGGGACATTCATTAAAAGCTTTTGGGAGCTACAATTGAGATTTCAAATTGTGCATTGCACATCGCCCCAGCCCACACTAATATCCTTTCAGATATTGTTATTCGTGTATTCCTTATATGGTAATCATGAAACGCAATCGAATTTAGCTTTGGTTTCATGTCTTTCTTCTGATCCTCCTCACTCGAAAACATGTAAGTCAACTCAGTTACGTCCCAGACGTGTTCTTAATGAAATTTTGCTATGCATGGATGACTATTGCAGTTTTGTCCCACAGAAGGCCTACAAGGATAATGCTTATGGCCGTATTTTCCGCCAACGTGTTAAGGATTTCAAATGAGCTTCTTAGAATAGTTTGAAATCCACTCCACCTAATTCCATTCATTCTAAACAGCGGTCCATTCTAAACTTTATAATGTTTCCCAAACCTATCCAAAACAGATTGGAATCTGAGTCAGAAAGCCAGTTCCAGACTGAACCAATAATTATTAAAATGAAATTCACCTCTGCAATGGATGCAAAAATGAAAATGTTAAGTCTAACAAGGGGCATTATCCAAGTGATCATCTAATACAGTATATATAGACGATCGTGACTGACGTTGCGACTGTCGGATCTATTCCCTTAGAACGTAATAGCCCAGGGGATGGGGAAAGAGTTCGGATGACATAAGAGGACGAAAAGGAAATGATGGAGGGGTAGAAATCGAATCCAGGACCTTCATGTTGCCAGTCGAATGTGCAACCACTACACTACCAAACGTAATACTTCATTTTCCGCACTCCTCCCGCTCTCTGCTTTGAGAGGTACGATACGGACTTTCCCGCAGAGACGTGTAAAACGTCCCTGCATATTACACTTAGAGTCCCCTTTCATCTCTCGAGGAAGAATGACTTCCTCGCCGGTAATAGATCTCCCCCCAAATATTTATCGGGATCCCGACCCCTTTATCAATAGAATCACATTTCTCTTATTCCTCACAAGAAGAGTGACTCCCGAGGGTGAAAACGGCTGGATCCCACCTGTATGGCACAGGAGCGCTTACTCTTGTATCAGAAAGACGACGTCGGCGACAACGTAATCATCACGTTTCTCTATCTCCAATTTCTCTCGTGGGCCTCAAGTTCCAGGCCTGCCTTTCCTGAGTTTGCTGGATCTACGAAGGTGATAACGTTACGCCGCCCTTGCATCATCTCTGTCGACCTATTTCATGCTCGGTGTGAGGCATGAAGTTAAACGAGCTTTATTTTGCTTATCGAAGTGAACGGTCAAAGCCAAACATCAGGTAAAGAAGACGAAGGGCGACCACGAGGTGCATGGTAAAAGTGTTAACGGGTCTTCGCAGGGCATTCTTCCGTATTCAGTAGGGCAGCATTTGGCTGACCAATTCTCAATCTCTCTTTTCTGCCATTAGCCTAAACTGAAGTATTGGACCCATATTTGTGATATAAAGAAGTCTTGGGTCGATAGGGTCTACAGTTTCCTCTGATAACGTATTGTGCCTGCGGTGTCGCGGTTGTTTTCCTAAGAGGTAGTATTTAGAAGAAAGTTGGTTCGAAAAATCGGTGGAAATCCAATAGGAGTGAATGGTGACTAGGGGCCGAGAGCCCAACACGTACGGCTTTAAAGTGCAGGACACATGTCTATACTGTTCCTATGGGTGCTCCATCTCCAGTTATTTCTTGGCTCAGTGGGTCTCCCATAGCCATATTAATAGGTACACGCAGAGTGCCATTAGGCCATTAACGTTCGAAGACGAGCGCGGTGGATTGCGATGTGAGTTGCGTCAGTCCGCCAATAAAAGCCTACATACCACATTGTCCTACGAGGCGAAGATTTAATGTGACGCCTATATCTTTGGGTTACCCTTTTGTTTTCGATCGGCGTCGGTCGGTTCCCCGTCCATCGCAATGGCGATTAACGAAGCGCCGGGGCAGACCGAGAAATAAGGGGTGCTTTTGCCACGTCTTGTCTTCTCACTTTGCCAGCCAGAGGGCAGGGGGGCGGGAGTGTGGCGACCTCCTCCCATGGCCATGTGTGCATTCTGCGCCTTTAAATTCTTCCGTGGTTTTGCACGGGCTATCTACTAGTACGTATACATCCTGCAGGTCTCATTCACCCGTGATTATCTTCAACACCCGATCAGTGAATGGAGCGGAAACGAATGAGAATGGAGTTGAAGAAAAAGTTATCAACCCTATTTCATCATGGACGCTTAAAATCCCAGGATTTCCGACAGCCGGGGGGAGGCGTCACGGTGAGCGATGCCACCGTTCCCTCGCGATTTTAGCGGTAACTCTCGTCTCCTCGTTCTTCCGAGAGATGGCGAGACGAGAGCGAATCTCCGATTTTCCGTGAAAGTTGCATTTCCTTTTCCTGTTGCGGATTTGGAATTTTCATTTCTCAAAAGCACATCCTCGGATGATGAGGAAGAGTTCTGTCGAAACCTCAAGTTCATATCTCTAAGCGTTTCCTTGTAGAGCTGTCACACACACACACACACACGCAATTGTCGCTCGGCCTAGCTAGCGGTCAGGATCGCGCACGCTATGTGTTTAACCTCCGGTCCTCCGGTTTTAATGACGTTGCATAGTTGGCATAACTGTAGTTCGAGATTACGGTAGACAGCATGAGGTTTTCTCGTCTTGGAGTCGTACGTTACCTGCAAAACTTTATTTTGGAAAATATGGAGTAGGAGCTTGACGTTTTAACTATTATCTTCTGCCTCACATCGTTCATGTAAGACTTCATTTTGTTTATTCCCCTCTTGCAAATAATTGCTACTTATAAGAATGAAACTAGTACAAATCCAGGAGTTCAATAGTATAAGTGTAAAGGCCTAAAATTTTACATCAAATGAGATGACGCAATGTGAAACCGGCGGGATGGAGTGTACCTGATTCATGAATCACAAAGTGATCGGTGCTGGAGAAATTGCAGGATGACAGTTAAATCATGGGGGAAAGGCGCAATTCAAGTCAACACATATGAGGACACCAGCATCTTACTGGATGCACCTTCACACCATGATACATGATAAGAATGATTTCAATTTTCGCCAGGTGCAGCCTGGCTCTTCTTGTCAAAATGATGAGTGGCGGGGCTCAAGGAATTTGATCTTATCATTGAGCTTCTCACATAGGACCAAGCCTGTATCTTAAGAGAGCAGTAGATAACAACTCTTCAACTTCTCAAACACACGAGGTGAATGAGGAAAAATTGGATTTGTCCCTATATATCGCAGTTACTCAAGAGTTACCTATAGTTGTGATGGCGACTCCCCAAAGTAAATCATGTACTGTTAGCTTTCATTGCTTAGTGCTTTCGATGTCTCAGATCTAAGCATTTTATTTTCGGTTTTACTTTCCCTAGTATGCGACATCTTTCAGCGGACAGCGGCGTTCACTTGATCACAATATGTTATTCAAGAACTCTCCATCTCCTGGAACTTTATTCGACGGTGGCTTCCAGAAAACTCTTTGCTGATTGACTTCGATTGGTTTCTGATGTAAGAGACCAGCTGTGGTTATTCCTCTATAACTCGTGAGCGGAACATAATTTTGGCTCGATAGGGGAGTTGCAAAAACATAGGTTTTTAGGCATGCGAAAGATGGTTCATTCGGTGTAAATCTGGTAGACCCAAGTTCATAATTTAAAAAATTTGAGATTGCCTGATCACGTATCGGTCCTTTTCCAAACGCGTGAGGGGAGTGATACTGCTCATCCTTCACACCTAATGGACGACATATTTAACCCTTGAATATGTAATTCATGGAACCGCGAAACTCTTCCCTTATTTGTTACTCGATGCATTTTGCTACGCTCTGCAAAACTGTGCTATTCTTTACCTATTGCATGTTTCGAGCAGACAACACAGCCCCGATACAAGCGATACCTCAGGTAAATTCCGTATCAGGGAAACACATATGGTACAGATCTAAAATCTCTTGACATCAGTGAAATGCAGATCAAACGTTCTACATATAGTTGTCAGTGCAATTTTACCTATCTTTCCAGAAACTGGGTTGCGAGGCTTTAAACATATTCCAATATATTTATTGTCTCACCCTGTAATAGTTATGGTATCAGGCAGAACTCCGAAGAACGAAACCCTATCTGGTTATTTACGTTATTTTGCGCGTTGGATGCCTGGTGACACGTAGCCGCTAGCATCGAATAAATAGATAGATAGATAGCAGTTAAGGATTCTCTACAAGCTTCAAGTTGAACTAGTCCAGAACTCTGGCGTACAAATAGACCATAAAATGTAAGAACATCATCTGCCGAAATCCGACATGGCATATGCCCTGCACGAAAATTGCCCAGTCGATGAACCTTTTATACAGGCATCGGAAGACCGTATCGAAGGAAAGCGAGCTTCCCAATGAGGAGCTTATACCGAAACTACTTCATGGAACTCAGAACTGAGGTAGTGACCTTCAAACCCAGACGGCGGGCCGAAAGGATAAAGAAAGAGTCTAGCGCATGGTTTACTCCAAGGGAAGGTATGTATCGCCTGCACTGATGTGGCCAGCAGTGATCCCAGCCCACAGCTCAGGAACGCCAACTTCTCCGACTGTCTCTACCTGTACTTATTCATGATGACGCTTCCGAATAAGTCAGTGTCAGTGGTGTGCGTCAGCTTAGCGGAAGTGGGGTAATGAAATCAGCTTTAATTTCTGCAGCTCAGGTACACTGATTCCTGCACAATTTTCGGCACAAACCTGGTCTTTAAATGAAACCACACAGCCAGAAGTCAAATGGAGTCAGGTCCGCCGACCTGGGAGTCCCCTCGATAGGCCCGACCCGTCCCATCCACCTGTCTTCAAAGCAAAATAACGTTTCACTTTAGAAAGATTTCCTTCACAGATAGAGAAGAAATTAAACGATGGCGACACGTTCCTCCAAGGAAAGTTTATCGGCATTGTCAAAAAACCATTTGGAGAAGCGAAAGCTAACAGAAAATAACTGCGAATAGTGCGTCCGTTGTACCCTAAATATCAGTTTTATGTTGAAAACTGTTACGTTCGTTTTGTGTCGAGTCACCCATATCTTACTAGTATTTCATGAAAATTTCCTTGTTGTTTGATAAATTAATGCACTCTCTTTCATATGCAAAAAACCTTTAATAAATTAATGCCTTCCTTACCAAGTTATACGAGGGGCCGTCAAAAAGTCTTCTTAATTTCTCACTCATACGCATGATGGAACACAGGTTTCGCTAGTACAGCTTCTCAACAGAGTCCCCCTCAATGTTCATACACCTTTTCGCCGATGTGGGAGCCTCTAGAGGCCATCTGTGATCCACTGTTTCGGTGTGTTTTGCATCCACGCCAGACAGCTTTCTGTAACTGCACTACTGCTACTCCACGATGCAGATCCAGATGCCTTTTTTTTTAAGACTCGTTACCGCCGATGAGACTCGGTTTCATCCTTATGAACCAGAGACGAAGGCACCATCGAAGCAGTGGAAGAATTCAAGCAGCCCACCTCCCACGAAATTCAAGACAACTCCGACCGCTGGAAAGCAAATGCCCACCGTGTTTTGGGGCTATCGCGAATCACACTCATCTATTGGTTTCTGAAATGTCAGATGATCAACAGGGACGCATATTTGACCACCTTGACATGGTTATTGGTGCGCCATGGCAGAGTTATTCAGAAGGAGCGCCGTGGCAAATGAGAGACAAAGGTACTACTTCAGCATAACGCTCGTTCACACACAAGCAGACAGACAACGGAGGCAATTGCCAGGCTCTGCTTCCAGACATTCCAGCATCCCCCATACTACCCTAATTTTGTCCCCAGCGATTGCTGGTTGTTTGCCAACGAGTCCTTGTGGGGACAGCCCTTTCCCGCCACGGAGGCTCAACAGAAAGCTGTCTGGCGTGGATGTAGAACACACCGGAACAGTGGACCACAGGCGACCTCTAGAGGCTCCCACATCGTTGAAAAGGTGCATGAACATTGAGGAGGACTGTGTTGAGAAGCTGTATTAGTGAAATCTGTGTTCCATCATGCGTATGCGTATGAGTGAGAAATCGCAAAGACTTTTTGACCGCCCCTCGCTCAAAGTCGTCCAGTGACCTTTCATTCATCCTATATTTCCCATCTGACGAAAACTGTGTCTGAACGTACTCGAAAGATTCGAGATGACAATTACTTTAAATTATCTGTTTTTTTTCCGGTAGTGATAACAATTCCTGAGAGCATTTATATGTATAGTGTTGACTCGTTGGAAAGGAATGTCCCTATCACAAATCCTCCTTCAAATGCCCCCCCCCCCCNATAATTAAAAGAAATTTTGATTTTTAAAAATATTTCCTTGAATGATGACGGCGCGAGGGAGCTATTTCATTTCGTGAGGGATAATCATTTTCTGAATTTTCATTTTACTTTCAACATCTGACGAAAGGAAGATGAGGTTACGACACGGCGGTCGCCCTACAGCGTAATAAGTCGGGTGCCTGTGTGCTATGCAAGCTATGCAATCCCAGGCAGAAACGACTTCGTCGGCTGTGGGCCTTTCATCAAGAAACAACTACGCTCCCTTTTTCCTTATCATGCACCAGCAAGTCCACGTTCCTCGCTCCGCGGCAGCAACCCGAGAACGAAGCCAAAAACGGGGAGGCTTCATTCTGAAAGAGGCCCGAGCCATCCAAGCATCCACCGATGTTCACACATCCTCCAACAGAGCCCAACCACAAAGCCCATCGCCATGAAATCGGTCCTCCTCGCCTGACATCCTCCGCCTGCAGCTAACCGCCCCTATCTCCCCCTCCTCTCCGATGCAATCGGGGTCGCTCCCGACCTTCAAAAATGAGCGGATCACGGCCGACCTTGAATTCCTCGCGATTTCGCTCCAAATGCTATCTGCCTCGTCATCGACCTTGGCGGCTTTCATTGCGAATCGTTGCGTTCTTCGGCATCCACGATAACGACCGAGTCGAATTAATGATGAGGGCGACAAGACGACGAAAATAATGATGATGGAAATAATTAATAATGAGGGTTTTTCTGATATGGAAATGTCCGATTATAATCTTATTTATTATTTTATTTATTTATCTATCGTGAGAGAACGAGAACGCCGGCCAGGGTGCAATCGAGCTCGACTAAGCGACAGGTTTTTTTCTGCATTTCTGAGACAAACTAGGCGAGTTACCGATAAGAAATGAAACTAGATTGCAGGAATTAGCGTCGCAAAAAGCGGGGAATCGGGGAGACGAGAGGAAGTGCGAAACGCAAACAAGGCCGATCCGCACACATCCCGATGAAACGGATCGATATGGAAGTGGGTCATCCCCCCGATTACATCACGGCATCATCCGCGGCGTGACCTTTACCACGGGAGAAAAGGGTCCACACGGAGGAAAAGGGTCCACACGGGGGAGAGGATAAAGGGAGCAAGGTCGAAAAGGGGGGGGGGGGGGGGAGCATGGTGGCAGACGAATGCGGGAATTTTCACTGTCATGACACGAAAACCCACGAGGATCTGGTGACATCCAGGCCCGACCCCCATCGCCGGTCCTCACTCGGTTGCCAGTCCTCGCTCGGTCGCCGGTCCTCACTCGGTCGCCAGTCCTCACCGAGTTGCCCTTTTGCCTCGCCTCGTTCCTCGTCGGGATGGACGTCCTGCTCTCCCTCTTCTCACTTCTCCTCCTCGGTGAGTCCCGGCGATTCCTGACGGGATTTTGCCAACATTTTTGCACAAAAGATGCAAAATTCCTCGAAGCCGATCTGTCCGGTCGCCCACGCGGTTCGCCCTCGCAGGTGAAAGTCGACCTCTTCGGTAAAGGTCCCCCATTGCAAATGGCGCGAATCCATTTCCTCTCGTCGATTCTTTCGCCGGCTCAACGTCTCAATAAGACCGCGGCGAGAATTCCGCGGCAACTTCATTTTTTCCCCGTTTTCTCGAGCGATTGCAACGCGTCTCATTTCCTTCTTTCCCTTTTTTTTCTCATTTATTCATTTATTCATTCAGTCGTTCGATCAGCTTTCCTTAGTCGATCATCGGGATTAAGCGGTTCTCGTTGAGCCCGTGGGAGCAAGCAACGCCTTCAAAACATATGCGGCACAAATTGACTGTGAAAAGTACGAAGTCGTGAAGAAGCAAATGTGTTTCACAGGAGTTTCGCAGAAAATTTCCGATTGTCAAAATTCGAGTCGTGTTTCCACTGGGATTCAAGGACACGAGGGAAACATGTTAGCTTTGAATGATACAGAAATAATTATAAAAGTACAGGAGAGGAACATGGATGCGTAGCACATGTGAAGCACATGTGAAGCACGTATGAAGCACGTGTGAAGCCCAATCCGAGTACCACGTGTACGGAAATTCCCGTACGGGCGCGGAATCCCAGATCGATAATACTACGAGGAGAAAAGCGCTTAGAGGCGACAGCGCCCCGCGGCTGCACCGCGTCGCTCGAGGCACGATCAATTCTTCCGTGCCGTCCGACGGCATTTTTTTAAGTTCACGAAAAATCTTCTTTTGCCGTGGAGAACGGGACCGCGTTTCCCCGCACGAGTTCGCGGATTTTACTCGGGTGGTCCATGCGTGTTTCCTCCTCGTGTCGAGGCGTCACTCGGTCGGCAGGATTAACTTCAAACGAAACCGTTTTGTCGTGGCTCGTGTTCCTCTCGGTGTGCCTCGGAAAAGCCTCGTCGAAACCTGCCGAAGTTGAGTCTGAACGCGTTCGTGCAGGCTGGAAGGGGCAAGGAAAAGCCGAGCAGTTGGTGGAACTCGTCGGCTCGGACTCGACGGGGTCCCCCCCGACCGGCACGGAATTCCCCCCGACCGGCACGGAACTCCCGGAATTCCCCTCGACCCACGGCGACAACTGCACCGACCGGGCCAGGAGCATCTTCGACTCCTGGAGTCCCCGAAACGCCAAGATCGTCGGGGGATCCGTCGCTCCCTACGGCCAATATCCCTGGCAGGTAAGTACAAATTCCCTTTAAACACAATTTAAATTTTTTTTTAATTTTCACGATACGTTTATCGATCCCTAAAGACAACGGTTTAAGAACGGTTTCTGGGGCAGACCGTCGATCGATTTCCACGCGATTCGCCGCTCCGTCCTTGGCCCCGATGCTCCGCCTCCATTTTCCCACATTTCCTCTGGCTTGTGCAAGTCGTGCGAAAATTTCTCCGTCTCGGATCTGCATTTGCGGATTCTAAGTGATCGATGAGCAATGGCTCGCAATTTTAGACTTGGATTTTCGTCTGTGGATCTGGTTCGAGGTGACAGGCACGAACTCAGATGCTCCGCTGTCTTTAGAGCGATTTTGTCCTTTAAAAAAAAAAAATGCCCAGGCCCTGCAGGAAGCCCTTTGACCTTAGGCATTTTTCCTTTGCTTTTCCTCTCGCGGCTTCCACGTCATACGACGCTTGCCAAGCTCGCACAAAGTACGCATGCAAACCTCGCGGCGAAGCCACAGGAGAAGACGGAACCCTCACGAAGCCTGCACGAGAAACGACGACCTCGACGACGAAAGCTCACGTAAGGCTTCCACGATTTCGCGGTTTCCGGCAGCACTGCCTCGCCATTCAGTACAGGAAAAACTTTCCATACCAGAGAAATCCGAAAGCAACACGCGACCAGAGCCATTTCAGCGTCTACCACTGCGGAATCCCCCATTTCCCGATCCGAATAACGTCGACGGAGCTTGCTGTCCACAGCTGACTCGAGAATCATTCATTGCCGAACTTTTGACGGGCAATTGCTATGAATGAGCTCTGTGCTCTCCGTGTTCTGCTCTGTTCTGAAAGTAAATTATGGAACAGGGCTCCGTTCTCTCGCTTTGCTTTGGAAAAGTCCCGAATATCTCGATTCTGCCGGTTTTATGACTTTTTCCGACAGTCTGACTCGATCGTCGTCTATTCTAGACGACAATAGACGACAATAAAAGTGAAATCCCTGCAGACACACCGATCATCTCTTTTTGCCTTTCTGTCTTTGGTATCGGGTCAAGTACGTTGAAAATGTTACTTGTACCTCGTAGATTCGACATGTTCAGCGCTGGAACTTTTTTTTCCCGTTTTAATTATTTAAAACCTCCTTATTTCCCCTGGATGAAAACGGACTGGAAAAGAATTATATTTTCTCTATATTTCACGACTGGCTTGAAGAAGTTTTAATCAAATATGGAACGAGTCTGCAAACTCCATCCCCGGAAATTTCACGATGTGAGTCCCAAGCTCGGGAAAGAGTCTCATGCGGCAGATATTGAGTTTAGTTTCTCCTCTATCCCCTCGGAAAGATACCCATCGTGGACCGAGTGAAGGTCACCGACGGACGGGAATGACGTCAGTCTCGAATGAAGCCATGCGTCGGGACAGACCAGCACGGAAACCCCCCAGTCAGTCCAGGCTCGTTCAGCTGCGCACATGCGTGGAAGATTCATGCCACATTCGCTCTTATTTTCATGCACCCCGACTCGCTGTCTCTGTATAAACAGA